GCTGCTGCTGCTGCTGCTCTGAAGTAGTTGTGCTTGAAAGTTCTATGCAGCCCACTGAGTGCACCCAAAACAAGAGCTCGAAATAACAACTGGACGTCCACAGTCGCAGCAGTCGCAGCAGCAGATGATGCAATTGACATCAACACACAAAATTGTCAAATGTCAAAATCTAGCCAAGATTTCAGCATCCATTGGCATTCAGCAGACGCAGTTGTGCATTGTATGCGGACCCTTAAAAGTCCTCAGTGCCGAGCCTCGCGTCTCGAGCACCGAGTCCTGAGTCCTGTTCCGTAATCTTTCGTGCGCTCGCTTGTAAATACCGAAACACCTTTCCTTTTTTTTTTCGTAGCGACGCAGGCGTCGCCTCTTACCTTGGCGTGGGTCCAGGTGTAACTTTTATTGTTGTGTGTGTGTGTGTGTGTGTGTGCGTGTGTGTGTGTAGTAGGCATTGTCCTCTCTGTAGTTTCATTTTTGTTGTTGTACTGCTTCGTTGCCCCCCCTGCACAAGTTTCTTTCATAACATTTTATATCGCACTTTTCTTCTTCTTCATCTTCGTTTTCTTTTCTTCATTTGATAATTGTTAATATGTTGCAATGGGCAGCTGCTGAGCCGCTCGAGTGGCATGAGCTAAATTGTGTATAGCTTAGAAATTGTTCAAATATTGTTTGCTCACATTATTTGACTAGCTGATATTTTGTTTGCCCTTAACTGATTCGGCAATACTTTTGGGTATATGATTTGCGAATTATCTGGTATTACCAGCTGCTATTATATGGAAATTTCATTTGTTATTTCATTCAGAGCTCCTGTAAGTTAATCTATTAACCAACCAATCCATATAAATCAGTTGTTAGGTCTATAAATATATTGATATATCATCCATCTAATCGGTCAACTACCAATCTAACTTTTACTATAGTTAATTTATCTAAGCACTTCAGCTTATTGCTTTATCCAAATACTCGTTAGATCTTTATATATGTAGTCTTTGTGTATATATCTAGTCTATCCATC